GTTCAGCCCACATAATAATGATTAAGGGTGTTGGGGAGGAAAAAATTTCCTCTACCCTTCAAGATTCTTCTAGCTTGTCTAAAAATCAAGTTGACATGAGACAGATTAACAGGAGAAGAATCCCAAAATTTAATTATGTACATACAGGGAATCCACATGAGATTCCAGAGAATAAGGGGCAATAACGTATATAGATCAATCTGAACTAATAAGAATGGAGATAAGGGTCTGGACTTCACAGGAAATGGGAAACAAATCAGAGGAATATGAAAGAACAAATGCCTATTAAATGTTAGCTGGGCCACACAGAAACAATGGGACACATGGAATGATTTAACAGACCTAGGTAGGTTCCTGCTTGTCTACATACTTAGGTCCAGCAATGTAGTTATCTTTGGTAACAGCTCTCATTCTGCAGCAGGTCTTCTGTCTAAATTCTTTGTATGCTGTTAGGGGAAAGGTCAAAAGTTCTGAGTCTTTGGGCCTTGATTGTATTCGCTCTAAGTAATCTGCATGCTAATGTGGCATATCTTGGTGGTCTGCTGGGAGGTATACTCTGGTTCCACACATTAAAGGCTCGGTTCCCCAAGACTGCTTTCGCATGTCAGAGGCCAGCTGAAAGCCCCGGTTGTCCCCTCTGCCTCTGGCTGACTGGTTCCTACATCCCCTTCCTTAGGTTTGGTTAAGTTTCTAGCGTGGCTTATGGAACTTTGAGAGGCATTTTACTTACTAGATTGCTGGTTGATTATAGAAGGATATAACCCAGGAACAGCTAGGTAGAAGAGATGCCTTGGGCAAAGTATGGGGAGGGGCTCAGAGCTTCCCTTCCCTCTCTAGGGTGCCACTCTACCTGCATCTCCACATGTTAACCAGCCTGGGAGCATTCCAGCCCCTGTCATCACCTGGGCACGGTTGATTAACAAACTGGGCATTGGTGACTGGTTGAACTTCCAAGCCTCCTGCTGTAAGACCCAACGGCCTTATTCCGGTCTGCGCTTCCCCCCAGTGAGGAGACAAAGGCCACAGCAGATGGATGCAACAAGCAAGAGGTTTATTATTCCAGCTAGCTGGGGTCCAAGTGTCTGCCCAGCACAGCGGGTTTCAACAAGGACCCCGAGCACTCAAAGCCAAGGGTTTATATAGCATTTTCAAAACACTTAACTCATAGTAATTTTCCACAGCTGCACATTATTCTTTGCAAGACATACATCCTGGGGTTAGGCGAGAGCAAAATAAGACCACTCCTCAATGGTCAGGGCGGTTCTGCACGATGAGCTTGGTATGTCAGATTAGCTGACCAAGGTTAGCTGACTAAAGGCCAAGCTGCCCACCACCTGGTGTTCATGATTAACTTGTTTTTCAAGGCCTTACCCAGTTCTAGTTTTTCTTTCTAAGTCACATACTCAGAAAATGGCTTCTAGGCCCTTAAGATGGCTACGCTTATGCTAACCTATTTCTATTCTTACACTGCCTGCTCCTGAGGCCGTGGGGTGGGCTGGGGTGGCGAACTGAAAGTACCAACCCTCTAATCTCAAGGTTGGTTACCTGGTGAGCAGCCCCCATCCCAAGGTGCTTTCCAAACTCACCTCATCAACATTACAAAAGACATCTTCCTTGCCCTAATCATAGAAAATTGCAAGAATTTTAGGAGCCCCATGGGCTACAAAGACCAAATCATATTTATTATAAATCATAATATCAGTATCATACATACATACACACACATGTACATGTATCTGAAGAGCAGATGTCCTCAGATGCTCGTCACATCTCATCCTCAAAATCACTTTGGGGGATCAGCATTTGTGTTGATCTCCTTTGGATCAGTGGGATCCACCGAGGAAATAATTGATAAGGGCAGTGAACTACCTAAGGTCCCAGAGCAAGCTAGTGGCAGTACTGGGGCAAGAATCCATCTAAAACTTTAAATGGCACATTCATAAGTCTTCTGTGCACCAGGCACTGTGCTGGGTGCTGGGGACATAGAGAAGAGCAGGAGGCAGTGCCCACCCTTTTGGTCTTTGTTCTTCCCTCCCTTTTCCCTCCCTTTCCCCTCTGCCATTTGGGTTGGGCAAGACTTGCTGAGTTCCTTTGGGGCTATTACCAGCGCTGCTGTTAATGTTTGTCAGCAAAGCCCAGATGCTGTGGGTCTTGTTCCCACACCAGGCAGCGATGTCGTGTTTTCCCTCTCATGAGGCAATCCTCTCTATCCATGCAGGTTTGCTTGGGGGAGTCTGGAGGCATTATGTGGGGAGCTTAGCATTCTGTAGGTTCCTTAGCAAAGGTGATACAGTGGCATTAGGCATCAGGAGCACTGGTTCAGGTGTTTAGTAGAGACTGTCGGTGCCCCACCAGCTCCAGTTTCCACACATGGCATTCTACTGCAAGAGCTGTGCTGTCCATCTGGAGACGCCCTTTCTACTGCACGTTAGGCTGTGCACACGTTCCAGTCTGACGTGGTGGTAACATGTCAGAGAGGGGAAGGGTTACACAGGCCAGTGATGAGGTTTCCCTCTTGCAATAAGCCTGTGCCCTTGTTATGAAATGTGACCTTCATGAGTGCAACTCTGCCTTTTTCTTTTCCCCGCAGTTGAGACAGGAAGGCCAGGAGGGCTAGAGTCAAGAGTTTCCCTTTACTGGGCTTCATTAAGCTCTGGTATAGTTTCCTTTGAGAACAGGCTTTTGTTAAGGAGAACAAATACCCTGGGCTTATTTTGAAGTGGGATGTCTCCTCTCCCTGTAGGAAGCATGAGGCAGAAGGTGAGGGTTTTTATTTTTACTTCGGTCATTTGCCCAGAGAATTGGTGTGCTTCCTGGATGTAAAACTCACAGGAGTGTGAAGGCCTCCCTCACAGTGGGACCCCCTAGTTTTTAACTTCCCAGCTCAACCACACGGATCCTCCAGTGCAGTGAGAATACAGTACTGGCTTCAAGAGCACGCACTTCTGAGACAGGAAAGCCTGTTCTCCAGTTGTGGGGCAGTGGTTTGTCCAGTGACTTCCATTCTCCGATGCATCTAAGAAAAGATATTGATTTTCATTTGTCCAACTTTTGTCTTGTAACGACAACAGGAGAGATGACGTCCGAGCTCTTTAGATGTCTGTTGGTAAGCCCAGTGGAGGTTCTTATTCAGTATTTTTAACCTAATAGAGTCAAAGAAGTAGTTTTTTAAAGCTTTTCGTTAACACATTCCAGTTCTAACTGATTTCAGAGCTTCCTTTTATAAATTGTTAGTAATAACTATGTCTCCTTTTGAAGCATGAATATCCCCACCCACCCAGAAATGGAAAACTCAAAGGAGGTCAGCAAGCACAGGGAGCTGGTGTTTGCCCTGGATTCAGGAGAACTGGGCAGCCACAGCCTTTTTATCACTTTGGTAGCCCCAGAATAAATTTATTATAATACTGAAGTAGAAACGGCAGACACACTCATTTGCATATTGACTATAAAACACCACTCAAGATGAAATCTCCTAAAAGTAAAATGCATAATGTATAAAAACTATGTAAAGCATATTATACTTGTAAAAAATAATTCACAACTGGAACAAAATGTCCCTAATTATCTCTTACCCAAATCTAAAAGACCTTTTTCTATCTTCTAGTATTTTTCTCTCTTCTCTCACCCTCTGTCTCCCTTTTATCCTCACCCCCATTATTTACATTTCCTTCTCTGTTCCCATCATGGTGTGATGGTCCCCAGTGCTCCCTGCCTCCTTCAGGCCCGGTGTAACCAACCCCTTCCGGTCAAGTGTAGGCTGGGCCTACTGACTTGCTTTTAGCAAACAGATGCCAAAAAAACAAGGAGTTGTGACTTCGTAGATCTAACTGCTGAGAGACTCTGGCTTCTGCCTTGGGAGACTTCTGTTGCTCTCTAGTCTGAGGGAAGACATAATGTGAGTTGCCTTTTACCAAGGCCTGAGGCCTACATGGTGAGGGACTCCTGTCTCTGAGCCGATGAAGACCTGAAGCCTGCCGTCAGCCTTGTGAGTGAGCCTGCAGCTTAGAAGTGAATCCTGCCACAGTCAGCTTTTAGAGACCGAAAGGCCTGAAACCATAATGTTTTCTTAAAGTTGGATTTCATAATTTACTTTTAAAGTATTAAGTTCTGGCTGTAGTTTGAGTGTAACTTTGTGAAGGAGACCGTGGATCAGATGCGCCGAGCTAAGCTGCTTCTGCATTCCCAACCTGCAGAAAATGCAAGATAATATGTGACTGCTGTTCAAAGGCAGTACGTTTTAGGGTAATTTGTGATAAGGCTATAATGAATGACCCTTCTGTATTCCTCTTCCCCATTTTGAGGAAACTAAAGGGGATAAAGTGTGGAGCTCAAATGCTCACCTCATGATAGTAATAATGATTTCAAAATTGTAAAGCTATTTATCCTTGAAATTGTTTGCATAGACTGCTCTGTGTTGAAGTTCTAAAATACAAGAAATTAAAAAATTTGTATGTTTAAGTCCTAACCTCCCATACCTTAGAATGTGACCTTCTTTGGAAATAGGATCATTCCAGAAATCAGTTAAGATGAGGTCATTCTGGAATAGGTTAGGTACTAAATCCAATGATGGGTGTCCTTATAAACAAGGGAAATTTGGACTCAGATGCTCACATAGGAAAAAGAAGACTTGTGAAGACACACAGGGAGGCAGCCAGGCACACGGGACAAGGCCCAAAGTTCCCCCTCCCAAACGTTGGAGGAGCCAACTCCACTGACTCTGCTGACTGACACCCCCGCCTGAAACATCTAGCCTCCAGAACTGTGAGACAATAAATTTCTGTTGCTTAAAACATGCAGCATTTGGTGGTTAGCAAGTGAGCATGCCTGCATTTCCTTATTTGACCCACACAGATCTCTGCAGAAAGGTTCATTTGTTGCACAAGCTTGTGTAGATCTGTGTCTGTAAGTGAAACCATAATGTTTTCTGAAAGTTGATTTCGTAATTTACTTTTAAAGTACTAAGTTCTGTGAACCAATGATTTTATTGTGCTCTCTCTATAAATATCAAGACTTGTTCCGTTACTCAGCAGTCTTTGGACTTCATCATGATTGCTTCTCAGCTGCTGGCTTTTGTGGTAATTTCAGCTTCCTGTGTCTTAAAATCCAGCTCCCTGGATACTTTCATTGCTGCTGTTTATGAGCATGCAGTGATATTGCCTAGTGCCCCTCTACACCTAGTGGCCCGTGAAGAGGCATTGGCATTAATGAACCAGAATCTGGACCTTTTGGAGGGAGCAATTGCATCAGCAGCCAAACAGGTAACAATCTCTCGAGTGTGTGGCGAAGGGGTAGGGACGTAGGAGAAAGGGTCACTGTCCTGTCCATTATACTTTTGGACAACATATGTGTTAAGCTAGCCAAGAATTTTTGTTTTACTATTGGAGTCCTACCTCTTTCTCAAAATTATTAGAGCAAGAGTACTATTACATTTCCCTAATAGTGAAACAAAGTTAAGAAAATAATGGCTTGCTTATCATTAAGAGACAGCAGACCTTTGGGGAACTTGCTGTGAATTCAACAACTTTGTTGCTCTTTTCTGGTACAAATGGATGAAAGGAGGGGGATAAATGAGTCAGGGTCCAGGTGCCATTAGAGCACTTGTATACTTTATTAGAGTGTTGAGATACTTTAGTTCTCTTAAAAGTGTACAAGTTTACAGGTTAATTCATAATAACAAAACAAATTGATGTTGCAAATTACTTAACAGTATGTATTATATACTTAATACTTCATTTTAATTACAAGATGGAAGTATATATGTTAATGCATTGTAAGTTCTTGAGATGAACGACAGGTCAAGTTTAAGTGTGCAATTTGAATGGATGTGGTTTGAATAAGATATTCATAGGTCACCATAGATGAGGGATATGCAAAGTATAATGTAAGTCATGAATACATATGCAGAGCATATATCTATCCATATACATTCTTATGCATATGAAAATGTAAAAAGTTATTGGGAATTCTGAGGTTCTTCTTCCACATTAGTCTAACTGTTTTCTTAAAGGGCACCACAGCTTTCACGGCATCTCTCCCACCCTGGTGCACCCAGGTTACCCCAGGTTGTACCTCTCTGCTCGGCAGCTTCCAGGAACCATTGTCTGATTCCATTCTTGAGAAACAGGAATCATGTTTGCAGGACATGGAGCAGGGAGGACTGGAGAAGACGAGGAAGTGACCAGAAATTTGAATTATAAATCAATCCAGACACACTCAGGCACAACAATTCGCCAAAGTTCAAGGAGGGCGGTATTTTCCAGAAGAGTTGGGTTTATAGTTAACAACTGCAACAGATGGCAAACCTGTGAGTAGCCTGGAAAGTTTCATGTTTATGAAAGAATGAAAAGTTGTGTAAAAATGATGACACTGGGATTAGAAATGAAAGTGGTTGGGCAGAGAAAATAAAGTATGAAAAGATTTTAAACAAAGGAATAAGATTGAAAGAAAAGACAAAAAGCACGAATGGCTGCTCCTCAGCCTCCCAGTTCCTCCTCTGCTCTCACAGGCCCCCTCTTGGATGGCTTGCGTATTTGAGAAATATTTTAATTAGGCTACATTTTTAACAGGGTGCACATATTATTGTGACTCCAGAAGATGGTATTTATGGCTGGAACTTCAGCAGAGAATCTATTTACCCATACTTGGAGGATATCCCAGACCCTCAGGTGAACTGGATCCCTTGTAATAATCCCAACAGGTAAGGAAACAGACTTTGGACAATTCTGTCATGAACATGAACTCACCTGAGTTAGGAAAACTTTGTAGAAGGGCATTGCATATAATCAACCATCGACCTAAAGTTTCAAGATTGCTTTACTATTTTTCGTCTCCCGTGGATACATTTACTTGAGAAGCTAATATGAATTAGGAAATCATAGAAATCAGTACTTGAAGATAACATAGAAATCATCAAATATGTGAGCAGGCCTCCACTGAGGAAGCAAATTCTGGAGAGATGACAGCCTAACTCGCTTAGGGTAACAGACTGGTTGGGTGGAGGAGCACCAAATCTAAACTCTAGTCTTCTGATTCCACCCAGCAATGAGGAAATTGCTTCCCTATGTGGATCTGTAATTTGAAAACTGCATGGGAAAATAGCAAAACAGAATCATATGTCACTTTAGGATTAGAACTTTTCTTTTCCGATCAATAAGATAGCTGGATGAGGCTAATGTATAAGAAAGCTTTCATGACAGTTGCCAGCTGATGGCACCAAATTTTCATTCATTCAGTAGTTTTCTTAGCCTCAGCTGTTCAATAACCTAGTATTAACCATTTATTATTTTAGAGTTGTGCCTGTAGAGAATATGTAGCATATTCTGAGGTCCCACTTTTCAAAATTTTATTTTAATTGCTTTACTAGGACAACTATTGGTAATGTGATAAAGAATTTTAAAAAAATCAAGCATTAACAAATGTTTCAGCATTTCCATCTTTCCATATTGGTTGCCCTAGGCCAACCCTTGTTGGCTCTAATCTGAATTACTACAATAGCTTCTTAATAATTCCCCTATGTTACTCTGTCACCATTTGAGTACACGCTGCACTCTGATGCCCTATTAATCTTAAGGAAATTCAGATCTTGTTACTTCTATCCTCAAAACCTTTGCTAGTACCTTATTGTATATTAAACTTGGAATAGATTTCTTAGCCTTCTGTGCAGAACTTTATCTCCTATGACCCCAAATTCTTCTTTTAAATACTCATTTCCCTTTTCTTCCCTAAAGATTTTTCTGTTCCAGCCAGACCGATTAGTTCTCTGAACTGGTTTTCCTTTCCTACTTCCCCCTACCACCACCTTTTTACTGGGGTAAAATATACAACACATAAAATTTACTGTGTTAACCATTCTTAAATGTACAGTCAGTGGTATTAAATACATTTATATTGTGGTGCCACCATCACCATCATACACTCCAGATCTCTTTTCATCCAGCAAAACTCAAAATCTATTAAACAATAATTCCTCTTGTGCTGGCAACACATCCACTAAAATTGGAACAATACAGAGAAGATCAGCATGGCTCCTGCGTAAGGACGCCATGCAAATTCCTGACGTGCTCTATGTTTTGAGAATTGGAAGAGGAGACATTGCAAGTGACACTGCAGAAAAAAAAGGCTCATTAGACTACTATGAATAATTACACGCCAACAAATCAGACAACTTAGAATAAATGGATGAATTCAGAGAATCAGACAAAGGATAGCAGGGAAACCTGTATATACATATATTTAAAGGGATATTATTCAGAGAAAGAAATTCTGCATTTGCAAAAATATGTATGACCTTGAAGACATTATGCTAAGTGAAATATGTCAGGCAGAGAAAGACAAATACTGTATGATCTAACTTATGTGTAGAACCTATAAATACAGAACTCATAGAAGCAGAGAGAACAGTGGTTGCCAGGAGCTGGGGGTTGGGGAAGAGAAAATGTTGTTCAAAGGAACAAACTTCCCATTGTAACAGGAATAATTTCAGAGATCTAATGTACAGCCTGATGTCTACAGTTAGCAATACTGTATTGAATACTTGAAAGTTGCCAAGAGGATAGATTTTAAATGGCAAATATAGGTTTATTTTTAAATAGAAAAATAGATTTAAATAGATATGTTCCCACCATAACAACAAAATGGTAATTATGTGAGATAGAAGATGTGCTAACTAATCTTATTGTGGTAAACATTTTTCAATATATACAAGTATCAAGTCATTGTTTTACATCTTACACTTACACCATGGTATATATCAATTATATCTCAACAAACCTGGGAAAAACAATAATTCCCCATTTTCCCCTCCTCTCAAAGCCCCTGATTAACCATCATTCTACTTTCTGTCTCTATGAATTTGAATACTCTAGGTACCTCACGTAAGTTGAATTGTACAGTATATATCTTTTTGTGGTTCTACTATTTTGTATATATCTTAGGTATCAGAATTTCCTTCCCTTTAAGCCTGAATAATACTCTGTTGTATGTATATACCACATTTAGCTTATCCATTTATTGATCAATGGACACTTCGGTTGTTTCTACCTTTTAGCTATTGTGAATAATGTTGCTATGAACAAAAGTGTGCAAACATGTCTTTGAGACCCTGCTTTCATTTTTTTTGGAAATATTTCTTTTTGGATATACAAATTTTTGGAAATCTTCCTTTATCCATGGGGGATACATTCTAAGATCCCCAGTCTTGGATGACTGAAACCGCAGATAGTACCAGACTCTACATGCACTGTGCTTTTCCTACACATACCAATGATACTTTAATTTGTAAGTTAGGTACAGGAAGATGTTAACAATAACTCATAATAAGATAGAACAATTATAGCAATCAACTGTAATAAATGTTTTGTGAATATGATTTCTCTCTCAAAATTTATTGTACTATATTCACCTTTCTTCATGTGATGATGTGAGATGATAAAATGCCTGTAACATGAAGTTAGGTGAATGACAGACATCTTGACTACACATCAGGCTACGATTGACCTTCCAATGATACATCAGGAGGATCATCTGCTGCTGGACCATGCTTGCTTGCAGGGAAATGAAACCGTGGATGTGAGACCATGGAAAAGGTTTCACTACAGAATATCCAGAAGTGTATTTGCTGGGTCATATGGTAGCTCTATTATTAATTTTTTGAGGAACCACCAAACTGGTTTCCACAGTAGCTGTACCACTTTACATTTTTACTAACAGTGCCCAAGGGTTCCAATTTCTCCACATTCCCACCAGTACTTATTTAATTATTTTTTAGCCATCCTAATGGGTGTGAAGTAGTATCTCACTGTGCATTCGATTTGCATTTCTCTAGTGATTAGTGAGGATGAACATCTTTTCATGTGTCTATTGACCACTTGTATATATTCTGTGGAGGAAAGACTATTCAAGTTTTTGTTCCCATTTTTGAATCAGGTTGTTCTTGCTGTTGAATTTTAAGAATTCTCTATATATTCTGGGTATTAATATTAATATATCATTTTCTTATTGTATTTTATAATCTTTTTTGATTTAAAGTCTATTTTGTCTGCTTTTAGCATAGAATATCTTAAGTTCTCCCTCACATTTGAAAGACACTTTTGCCAGATACAGGATTCTTAGTTGACAGGTTTTTCTTTCAGTACTTTAAATATATCAGCCCACTTCTTTCTGTCCTCCAAAGTGTCAGATTAAAAACTGCTAATAATCTAATTGGGGATCTTTTGCATGTTAGGAATCACTTCCCTCTTGCTGCTTTCAAACTTCTTGTTTTGTCTTTGTCTTTTGACAGTTTTATTGTAATGTATCTTAGAATGGGTCTTTTTGATTCATCCTTCATGCAGATCACTGAGCTTCTTAGACCTTTATATTCATGACTTTGAGGAGTTTGGGGACATTATTACTTCAAATAATCTCCCTGTTCCTTTCTCTCCTCTGGGACTCTTACATGTATATGTTGGTCCGCCTGATGGTGTCCACAGGTCCCTTAGTCTATTCACTTTTCTTCAATATTTTTTCTTTCTGCTCTTGTGACATGACCATTTCAGTTGTACTATTTTTAAGTTTGTTGATTCTTTCTTCTAACTGCTTAAATCTGTCTCTGAATCCCTTTAGTGAATTTTTCATTTCAGTTATTGTAACTTTCAGCTCTATGATTTCTTTTTTATTTCTTTTAGGTTTTCTATCTCCTTTTCAATATTTCCATTTTGTTCATCCATCATTTTCTTGACTTTCTCCATGTCTTCCTTTAGTTCTTTGATCATCTTTAAGACAGTTGTTTTTAAAGTTATTGCTCAGTAAGTATGCCATCTGGTCTTTTCCAAGATGGTTTCTTTTGGTTTATTATTTTATTTCTTTTGGATGGGTCATAATTTCCTGTTTATTTGTGTTCTTAATAATTATTTGTTGATAAGTGGACATTTGAATCTTATAATGTGAAACCTCTGGAAATCAAATTATCCTCCTTCCCCAGGATTTGCTGTCTTTTGTTTGTTTTGGTTGTTGTAGGCTGTTTCTGAGCTGGGGGTAGGCTTGAGTTATCAAACTTATGGTCTTCTCTGGTCTTTCCTTAGTCTGTGCTTTTCCCCACACTTGTGCATGACTTTCTAAATTCTCCTGTATATGTAATTGCTTTTGTATGTTCTAGTCCCTAATGTCTACCTCCCAAAGGGAGAAAAGTGAAGGATGCTGTAACAGAAGGCTCTGGCCCTTTTATGTCCCCTAGAAGTCACTTCAGCCAGAGGAGGAAGGACTTGTAATGATGTGGGGGTGCTGCAACAATGGCTGCCTCCCCATATCTGCACTGCTATGCTCAGAAGCAGTGATCAGTGATCAGAACACAGATCCCTGATATTTGGAGGGCAGGGTTCTTATTCTCCACCCTGCTCCCACAAAATCCCTGTAAAGTGCTCCAGGAATCCCCGCATGGCTGCCTGTATGGGGTTGAGAGTCAGGGCATCAGTAGCCACTGCTAAGCTATGAGCTGAAATTGGCTGAAACTAAACAAAATTTTCCCTCCAAGCCTTCCCCTGGAAGTTACATGCCATCAAATAGATTCCAGTGTTCCAAAATAGTTATAGCAGATATGTTCTGCCAGTACAATTGTTGTCTAGGAGGAGGGATGAATTCCTGGTGCTTCCTTCTCTGCTATTTTCCTGGAGTCCTCCATTTACAAGTTGTTCATTCACTGAAATATTTTTTAAAGACTTATTTCTATCAGGCATGGGTTCAGTGAATAGGAGATGGGCGCCTCATAAAATCTATAAGATAGAACACTTACTATTAGATGAACATATCTGATTATGGATGATGATAAATATTATAAAGAAAAAATACATGGCATGGAATCTTATCCTAGAAGAGTTTCCTACAACCAAATTCCCACAAGTGTGTACTTAATTTGAAGTCTCTTCTTGTTTTAATACCTCCCTTCTATCTACATTATTTAAAATTTGTCTTTGTATATATCACATACTAGGTTCAGGTAACTCATTCTGAATTTCACTAAAAGCTAAGCTTGGTTTTTTTCTCCCCGTCTTCCAATGCACACATACCAGATTTGGCCAAACCCCAGTGCAAGAAAGACTCAGCTGCTTGGCTAAGAACAACTCTATCTACATCGTGGCAAATATTGGTGACAAGAAGCCATGCAATGACAGTGACCCTCATTGTCCCCCTGATGGACGTTACCAGTACAACACTGATGTGGTGTTTGATTCTCAGGGAAAACTGGTGGCACGTTACCATAAGGTAGAATTAATTTGAAAATATTCCAATAACTGAATACTTAAAACAAAGTGGACAATAAGGAAACAGAAATCACTGTTATTGATAATAAAAAGCATACTTTAAAGGCAGAATGGACCCAAAGCATAGTAAGTAATGATTAGTTGTAGTAAGCACCTAAAAGAGGCTCAAGAGATTTCCCAGGAGTGTGTTCCTGGGAAAGTGTGAGAATCAATAGAAGCTACCTGCATAGAAATATAATATTGTCTTTTGGGTCCTTTTAAAAAGTGTCCTGGCATTGGGCCAAGGCTAGAATGAAAAACTCTTTACTAGGTAGACTTGGTTTTGAAGAAAATGAAGCAAAAAAAGTTCTTTGCCCACAGAAAATATTTAAGTGGAAATGGTTCTGGCAAATGGAAGTTACCCCTTTCACTACTATGTGTTATAAGATTGAAGAAGACCTTAATAGATAAGGATTCCCTTGTACAAATCTATAATGTGGAGATTTAACCAAAGGATCCTACCAGTTGTGGTGATCTCTGATTCTCTCATACTGTTTCTCTGTGAAGACAGTCATAGATGAAATTGGCCCTGTCTACTTTATGTGAGCTTGCACCTTTCCAGACATGGTGATGACCAACTTGCTAAAAGAGATTTTCCCCCCCTTCATCTTCTATTTATTGCAGCAAAACCTTTTCATGAGTGAAGAGCAATTCAATGTACCCAAGGAGCCTGAGCTTGTGACTTTTGACACCACCTTTGGAAGGTTCGGCATTTTCACGTGCTTCGACGTACTCTTCCAGGATCCTGCCGTTACTCTGGTGAAAGACTTCCACGTGGACACCATCCTCTTCCCAACAGCTTGGATGAATGTTTTGCCACATTTGTCAGCTATTGAATTCCACTCGGCTTGGGCTATGGGCATGAGGGTCAATTTTCTGGCATCCAATTTACATAACCCTTCAATGAATATGACAGGTAAAATATAATCTTCAAGATTTATTGGTTTGACTCAGAAGAGCAAAAAAAAAATTTTTTCCTAGCTACCATGTACTCCTTAACACATATTTTTTAAACTCTTAATTTTTGCATATTTAGCTGGCAAAATGCTGTAGAACAATCTTAACCTGAATTGCTTTGTAGATATAGTTTCCTTCCACTTGAACGTATGCTCTTTTTATTTTTTTCAAAATGGACCACTTATGTGTGACTCTTCTTAGAGTCTTGATGTCATGTGTTAATGGAATTTTTCCCACCTGTTCTTATTAACATATTTTATACTGAGATTAGTGAGATATACAGTTTAGAGGGAATGACATGTTAATATGATTTAACAATGACAACTCTATAATCGCCTTTCACTTTCCTATTTCAAATACTGTTGCTAATTTATCAACTCCAGGAAGTGGCATCTATGCACCTGATTCTCCAAGAGAATTCACTTACAATATGAAGACAAAAGAGGGAAAGCTTCTCCTCTCACAACTGGATGCCCACCCATGCCATGCTGCAGGGGTAAATTGGAATTCTTATGCCAGTGGCATAGAAGCACCCTCAACAGGAAACCAGGAATTTAAGGGCACTGTCTTTTTTGATGAATTCACCTTCTTGGAGCTTACAGGAGTCACTGGAAACTACACAGTTTGTCAGAAAGATCTCTGCTGTCATCTAAGCTACAAGATGCTTGAGAAGAGATCAGATGAAGTTTATGCCCTAGGGGCATTTGATGGACTACATACTGTAGAAGGGAGCTATTATTTACAGGTAATGATTATTTTCATGGAGGGGGAGTTTCCAGATAAAATACAGATGCTGCATTAAATTTGGACTTCAGATAAACAGTGAATTATTTTTATTATAAATACATCCCACTTCAGGGGATATATGTGTATTAAAAATTTTGATGCTTATTTGAAATTTAAATTTAGTTATTTTTATTTGTTAAAACTTGGAAGCCTAGATGTCAGTCCAATTTTAAACTGGTTGGAAAATAGCAGAGCATTTATTTGCAGTACCAGTATTTAAAATGATGTAATAATAAAATTACAGATAATCTTAATGGCTAACTAACCTCTGATATTTCCTGCCTGAACAAACTTGGGCATTTTCTCTATGTGTTCATTAATGCCTATCTAGCTTTACAAAGAGCTTGACATTAAGTATGTCCTGGAGACATAGAGTTGGCTTCTGAGATGTGCAGTAGAAAAATTTATTGTTGCAAAGATGTAGACAACCCACAGCCCTAACATTAAAGGAGGAGCTACTGTAGTCTGGTGAGATGGAACCCCTGAGAAGAAGCAGCTGCTATGCTCCTCTCTTCTCTTCCTTGTTCTGGCCAGCATCCTATTTCACCCAGATTATTGCACCACCCTACTAACAGGACTTCCTGTTGACAGTTTCAGCATCATCCAATCTATTCCCTACACCATAATTACAGAAATCACTAAAAGCGTTTCTGATAATTTCACTCTTTAGCATAAGATTTCTCACTGTTTTCTAATTGGTAAATTAAATTCCTTAACCAAATGATTCCTAATACCTTGAAATGTGCCTTGTCCTACTCTCTAGCCTCTTCTCTCACTTCCATTCCCGTGTGCCCTGGCCTCCTGTCATATGGAGATATTTCCCCACCTCCAGTGTGCCAGCATCTGCAGCCCCTCGGGATGTTTGCAAGGCTGTTCCCTCTATGAGGACCCCAACCACCTAATGCTCACAATGCTTTTCAGATGTTATCTTCACCAAGAAGGCTGCTCTGACACTTCTGTAACATGACTTCTACCTTCCCAGGGGGGTTTGGGTCGTCTTTTATGTACCCCAGCCATCCTACGCTAAACTTTATCAGACACATATCATGTCAAATTATGTACATACTTTTTAGAGACTGAAAGCCCTTGCGGTGCTGGAACTACATCCACCATGCAATGTTTTTGCTATATGATAAGCGCTCTACCAATGCCCGTCTATTTTGATATATTTTTATGAAGTACCCACTACATACCAGGTATATATTCAGTGCTAATAACTATATGAGATGAGTAAGTACAGACCCTCTTCTTGACGAATCCAGAAGGGGAGAAAGACGGATGAACAGATAATATCAGTACAGGTTGGCATGTGATAGAACATAGAATGCACATTTTGCTGTAGGAATACTAGGGGGCTGTACCCAGCCTAATTTGAGGATCCAGAGAAATTTCTGGAGACATGATGTATGGGCTTATATTGTTATCCAAGTGTAAAGAGTAGGAGGGAATTCTAGGGGGGCTGAGAGCGTGAGCAAGGGTGTGGATGTGTCAAAGAGCAGGGTGTGTGTGTGGGAAACAAGCAGTCCAGTGTTACTGAGCATTGCATAAGAAGCAAGTGTTAGTGGAAGGAGCCTGGAGGCAGGACCATATCCTGCAAGACCTTATCAGTCATTCCTAAGATTTGGATGTTTTTCTGTCCGTGATAGTCTTCTGTTGGACGGTGTTCAGTAAAGGAATGGTGTGATCCAATCTGCTTCTGGGTAGATCCCTTCGGCTGTACTGCGGATGGTGGGGCTAAGGGCAAAAGGGCGTTAGATGATTGCAGCAGTCCTGTGAGGACCTGCACTGTGATTATGTTAGCAGGAATAAAAGCAGGGTACGGAGTCAAGAAATATTTAGAAAGCTGAACTCGGTGACTAATATAGAACAAGAAAGTAGAATCAAAGTTCTAGAATGTGCCAGGTTTCTGGTAAGAGTGGCTGGGTAAACGTGAGGCACCGAATCTTTCATTTTTGCTTAGATGGTTTTCATTTTCAAGACATATTTTTTTGCTTTGTTTCGTGGATACAGCTCTTTATGTCTCTGAGGCTATTAAGGAATTATTTTTTCTCTAAGTTTCTTTCCCTTGAATAGCCTCTTTTTCCTTCACGTTTCCTTTGTCTGCTTTATATATATATGGGGGACTCAGTATCATATATATATATATATATATATATATATATATACACACACACACACAATCAAGAGTGTTTAAATTATTTAAAAAGATTTAAGTTAGATGTTAGTTTAATCCCTAACTAATTATAGCATTACCTAAAACTGATTGAAAGGCTATGTAGGTGATACTTGACAAAATTAAGCTCCACACCAGGGTGACCTGGCTGGACCTTTTCTTTGAAGTAATCACTGAGGTAAGCATATTTAGAGATTTCCTCTTGGGATGATTAGGTTTCCCAGGTTTTGAAATTCTTCTAATCCTTCCACTGTAGAGTGTTGCCTAATTTAGCAAATAAAAATACAGAATACCCTGGTAAATTCAAAGTTCAGATAAACAACAAATATTGTAAAAAATTAAGTATGTCCCATGCTTATTTGGGACATACTTATACTAAAAATAGATTTTAGTACTTTAAATTTATCTCGACTTTAAATTTAACTGGGACTCCTGCCCTGTTATTTATCTGGCAACCTTATTCCTGAAGGATAAAAGCCTTTCAACATTAAGTATGGTTCATTCCTGTAATCCCCTTCAAAACTCCATATAAATATTATCTGATTTACCCTCTGAGTCTTTCAAAACTCCATATAAACATTATCTGCTTTACCCTCTCTAGAAATAAATGCCCCTTATTTTACTGGAATAAGGGAAGGGCAGTTGCCCACCCAGGGTGGGGGACTCAGTATCAGAGGCATTCTTTACAACATCCCACCAGTTTTCCTCACTTTAGCCACCACAACGTAATCAGCTCCTGAGGTAACTACAGCTCCCAGAGATGAGGATTCTGCAGGACAGATCGCGTTATTTTTGGTTTTCCTCTCTGTCACTTTAGGACTCGGCTTTCTTAGATCTGCTAAACCAGTTACTTTTGTATCAACACGCGGGCTTTCAAATTGTGTGGTGGTCTTTCCTCTTGTTCTTCTCACCTTTGGGTGTATACCCTTAAAAAAAACTAATGTTGTTTTAGCAAGATTTAAAAGGAACAAATTGAAGCATGTATTCATTCTACCTTGACCTGAAAGTTGAGTTTGCATCTTAACACACGCCCACGTGTGCTTGCTCTCCAACCTCCAAAGAGGAAGCAGGGAGATGAGTTAGAGGCCTCTGCTCTAGTCAGGCAAGGAAAGGAGGTGGCTCAGAATGAGACTTGGAAGATAGAGTACAGTTAAACAAATACCGTTCTTCCTTTTGTGGACTTTGGATCTGCATGATGAGAGGATTCATATACTCAGATTTTACATTCAAATAATTATGCAGTATAGTGTCGTATAGTATAACCACATAATAGAGTGAGAACAGTTTCAGTTCGTGTTTGGATATGATGTGACTTTTTCAGATCACAGGGGGTGCCTCTAGATCAGCTCTAGGGTTCATTACAACCTTAAGGCTCTTTCTTTAAGTGAAATACGTAGTAAGATAGAGATAAAACTAACATCTAACTTAAATCTTTTTAAAAAATTGAAACACTCTTGTTTATTAAAAGCGTCACTAACTTGGGAACAGTGAGGGTAGAATTTTTCATGGCTACAAACCAAGGGTCTGATCGTTTCTTTACTTAGTTTATAAGCTATTCAGCACTGAATTGCAGAAAACACTGTGATCTGAAGTCCTTCACTTTTATTACTAGTTGCTTTAGCTATTCAGCAATGAACTTGATTAATCTAAAGAGGAAATAACATTGTCTTATCAAACAAAGTGGCATAGCCATTTTTGCTAGGTCAGGAGGGTGTGTTCTTTGGCTTTTTATAGACTTGTTGGCTTGTATTTACTTTCCTAGATTTGTACTCTGCTGAAGTGCAAAACAACGGACTTACACACCTGTGGGGACTCCGTTGCAACTGCCTCCACCAAGTTTGAAATGTTTTCCCTCAGTGGTACCTTTGGAACCCAGTATGTCTTCCCCGAGGTATTGCTAAGTGAAATTCAGCTTGCACCTGGAGAATTTCAGGTAATGTTTGCTTAATACTGATGACTCACTCACTTCATATAAGAGAAAGGATATCTTTAGTACAAAACCTACCCAAGTGCTTACAAATACTGTACAAATCTCCATGTGGAAAAGGTAAAATTGTCCTGAGGGGTTGTGAAGAACAGCGAGCAGGTTGAATTCCTTGTCTGGAAAATCTTAGTATAATAATTAGTGTGTCCTTGAGGATAAAGAAATATATTACAGTGGGGAGTCTCAGAAGGAGGCTGGGCCGGTTAAGGTCCACTGGGTAGAAGGAAGACTCAGGAAGAGTTTCAGGACCAGGCCCACCAGAGGAAACCCCTTTGCATCACTAGGCAGTGATGGCCTGGGGAGGTGAAAAGTAATTCCTCTTGTGTGGGTAGAGGCCCTGTGTGGCCACAGGAGAAAAGAAGAGAAGGACAAGTTGGGGAAAGAGAATCTGACAGCGGCTGATCTTGGCAAGAAAGCAAAAAAATTTTTTTAAAGGCCAGAAATATTTCCTTATTGCAGTAGCTCTGCTCAGCCATGTTCTACTGCCTTTCCCTCAGGTCTGCTCTCCTTCCCTTGTAGAAACAGCTACTGTGGGGATCTGGGGACAATGAGCAGAGTGGGAGCCTTGCTGAGTGAGTGACAGGTGACAGAGGTTGTGACAGATGGCAGAGGCTCAGCTCAAACTCCCCTTAGTCAATCCCTTCTGACATTTGGAGGGCTGTTATCAAAAAAGATTCAATTTCTCTCCTATATACTCCCACATCGATTGCTTTATATTATTAACTCATGGGATGCATCCTCAGATAAGTAAACTAAGAAATTGATTACAGGCAGTTCAGTACTAAATGAATCAGTGCCAGTTCCATACCTCTGTTTCTTTCTGGTACTCTGTACCATTTCACATATTCCTAATAGAACAGAATTTGGCCATTGTTTTGACTGTTCCTTCATCAATTTGTACAGAATTTTAAAAAGTGTCATGGGCTTATATGACTTACAGGAGAAACTGGTCAACTTCTCTGTGTTTGAATTAGGTGTCAAGGGATGGGCGCCTGTTTAGCCTGAAGCCCCTGTCTGGACCCGTCTTGACAGTGACTCTGTTTGGGAGGTTGTATGAGAAGGACTCCATGTCGAATGCTTCCTCAGGCCCCACAGAACAAGCACCAAGAGTTAGCTCTTAGTTTTAACTCCTATTGTGCAGTCATTAAGTTGGTAGAATATTTGCATGTCCTTTCTTTTACCTTGGAGAATTGAAGAAATAATGAATGAGAAAAGAAGGATGGGCCTGGGCTTTTGATAACAGTGGTTGTGGTCTCTCATATAAGTGAATTACTAATAATACATTAATATACACACACATTAGGCAACATAAGCCAAATAAATTGTGATAAAATGTTGAAAGGTAAAATTTGTAGTGAGAATAACAACTGTGCCCACCTTTTAGGGTGTTGTTTTTTGTGTTTTTTTGGTGAGAATTAAATAAGTGAATACATTTAACGTGCTTGGACATGTTCCTAGCATATGGGGAGCCCTGTATATGTGTTAGCATTACAGTTACAAATATATCACGTATACATATGACTGTCACAGTAAAACTACTCATGATGTATTTATTGCTACAATTATATCACCTCTGATTGTTTAAAGTATGTTTACTTCCAAAAGTTCAGCCACCCTCCGTATTTCAATTAGAAACTCAGTGAATTCAACATCATTGGCTTTGCCTTGATGTCTCGTGCCTTCTATCCTAAAAGAAAGCTGGGCTTACATAGGAAGCTGTTCCAGGCCTTCACATCTTTGGTGTGTTTTCAGTCATGATTGACTGCCTATTTCATGCTTTGATGATCTTGTCAGTCTATAAGCATATTAGCAGGGTGGCTCTAAAGCAGACATTTACCTGTCATATGGTCTGTTACATATTTTTGTGTGGCCTGTGAGCTAAGAAGGCTTTTATGCTTCTAAATGATTGGAAAGGAAACTACAAAAAAGAATAAGATTGTGTGACACATGAAAATCATTTGAAATTCAGAAGTTAGTCTCCACACCTAAAGCTTTATTAGACACAACCATGCTTATTTATTTAGATATTGTTGATGGTTGTTTACATGACACAATGGTGAAGTTGAGTAGTTGTGACATAGACCATATGGTCAAAAAAGCTAACAATATTTATACCTGGCCCTTTACAGAAAATGTTTGCTGACTTCTACTCTGATGTATTAAATAACAATGATTTAGTATTGATTTAGTATTGAAATGTTTAATGTGAGTCAGTGAGCAAATTGCCCTTGAGTGTCTTAGAATTCTTCCATCCAAGGTACCACATCTTTTGCTAAATTTGGTTATGCTCTAAAATTCCTCAGAAAAATCATGTTAGTATTATTTTTCAAAAATTTCCTAGAGATCAACCAAGAACTGCTCAAATTAATGTACTGTTTGATATTTTTCCCTGTGAAAAACTTACCAGCTTGTCTTCTAATGATTTTTCTTGAAATTCAACATTGCAGCAGTGAATTTACTTTTTAAAAAATGGTATTTACTGTATCCATACCCAACTCTGACTACGTATTCATTATGGATTTCTTTAATGCATATATGTGATTTTACAATAGTTTTGTTGTGCTCTTTAATTGTAATTTTCTTTATTTTGAATAGAACATCTGTGATGCTTGTTTGATATAAATATCCCAATTCCAAGAAAGACCAATGAACAAATAAACTTTTAAATCTACCTTTTTATACCTTGATGAGTTTGAATGGCCCAGAGAGCAGTTTTCGGCACTTCCACATTTACAGATACTCTATATTATCCATTGCATGACAATGTGAAACACACACACACACACACACACACACATTCACTGTAGTAGCCAGCTTCTGGGATGGCCTGCAGTGATCCCTACCTGCAGGCTCCGTATAGAGTCTCCATGATTATTCTTCTACTAGTATTTCTTATATTGTTTCTTATATAGTTTCTGAGCCTTGTCCCCTATTAAGTCTGAATGCTTTACCACTTTTATTATAACACATATCTCTTATTTAGTTCTGTGTAAGAGTTCCAATTATTTTATTTATTTGCTCTTTTATTTTCTCAAACAATACATTTTAGTTTTCCTATGGGCTGAATTTTATCCCCCCAAAATCATATGCTGAAGCCCTAACTCCATGACTCAGAATGTGACTGTATTTGGCGATAGGGTCTTTGGAGGTACAATGAGGTCATTAAGGTGGCCCAATCCTATATGACTGGGGTGTTTATAAGAAGAGGAGACTAGGTCGTGGACACGCACAAAGAGGAGACCATGTGAAGACACAGAAGAACATGGCCATTTACAAGCCAAGGAGTGGGGCCCTCAGAAGAAATCAACCCTGCTGACACTTTGATTTGGACGTCTGGCCTCTAGAATCATGAAAAAATAAAACTTTGGTATTCCAGTGTGTGGTACTTTCTTATGGCAGCCCTAGCAAACTAATATAAATTCCAGTCCTCTTCTCCCTCCATTTTCCACCATAAATTGACAATTGAGCAAAATGGTTAATAGGGAGCTAGGCTGGCTTCTCAAGACTCAACTCTTAGAGAAACATTGCTGATGAACTGATGGTGAAACCATCAGATCATTGAAGATCCTCTGTAGTTAACATCAATGAAATTATGTAATTAATCTGGCATTAAATGTTTTTTTTCAGTAATAGTAAAATCTCTTGACATTATACAACTTAGTGAAACAAAGAAAATCTTTTAAGTCAAAATATTTATCAATGATGGACTATCCATGTAGCCCCAATATCAACCTCACACTGACCAAAACATACCCTTCTGCAAATGAGAGCAGTGAGCCATACTAGCAATACAACATTTGGAAATAAATATCTTGTGGCAGATGCTTTTTATAAAAAAAAATACTGTATCATCTGATAAATATTTGAGTAAAATTCATCTTATGCTTTTGGGTGACATTAACTGATTTAAAAAAAAGACTTATTAGAAAAAAAAGCTCCTTATGTATTTAGGAACAGGAATCACCATGGCAAGCCTCAATACTGCCACACAATTTTAATCCAAAGCAGAAAACATGAGGATATATCAGCAATAGGCTAAGCTTAAAATATTAAAGGCTTCAAAAAACTCTAAATGCTTTTCAGTTCAATTTTGACAAATATATTAGTTATCCATTGTGACATAACAAATTACCCCCAAGTTTAACAGCTTAAAACAAGTGTCTATTATCTCGTAAAGTTTCTGAGTGTCAGACCTGGGAGTGGTTTAGCTGGATTTTCTGGCTCAAGGTCTGTCTTCAAATTGTAATTAATCTGTCACAAGGGCTGCAGTCATCCAAGTTTCTTGGGTCAGGACGCTCTGCTTCTAAGCTCACTCATATGGTTGTTGTTGACAGGCCTCAGTTCTTTGTTGGAACTCTCCACAGATGGCTTGAAAGTTTTCACCAAAAGACAGCTGGCTTCTCCTGAGTGTGTGATGGAAGAGATAAAGATAGAGATAGAGAAAGAGACATACAGAGAGAGAGAGAGAGAGAGAGAGAGAGAGAGAGAGAGAGAGAGAGATGATAGAGATAAAGATAGAGAAAGAAAGAGAGAGAGAGAGAGCCTAGTATGGAAGTCTCAGTTTTTTATAACCTAATCTTGAAAGTGTTATCACTTCTGCCCCATGTTATCTGTCACATAGACCAACAGTGGCACAATGTGGGAGAGAATCACACAAAGGTAGGACTTTCAGGAGGTGAGGACCATTGTAGATCTTGGATGTTGGCTATCACAGTATATATATTTATATTTACATATGTATATATTTGCTATGTAATTTTTAAACATTTCCCTTTTCTTTTTTATGTATGTAATATGTCTTTCCAAATATAGTTCTAGTATTTAAACCTGAAAAGTATTTTGCCAAAAAACTTTCTGCAACTTCTTTGTATAATAATGACTAAATAATTTAATAATCTCTACTGCTGGTCTGTAGTAAAATTTAAATTGGCTGGATTAATTAGTTTTGTGGCAATGCCATCTCCTTTTGATATACACCTGTGACTTTGACACTCACTTTTCAGAAGTCTATGTTATAAAGAAATATACATTAAAAGTAATCCAGAATATACAGCATTAGTTCCAGGATCATTCATGCTTAAATCATTACTTAAATGCTTTTTTTAAAATCAGCAACACCTTTTCTAATAATCTATAAAATATATATTAAACAAGTGGAAAATTAAATTATTTAAGTGTTTTGGATATCAAGAAGAATGGAAAAAGTCAAGTAGGAAGTCATGTCAATGTCAAAGCTGTTCTGAAACCTATATTTGGCCCTGATACTGAAAATTAACCCTTCATTCCTCACATGTCCTCTAATTCTTTACCCTGTGAATGTTCTTGAGCATGTTTAGATGCAAGACCTTCATTTTTGTTTTTGAAAACACAGTAATATTCTTAGATGGGGAAAATATCTTACATCCACTACAATACTTAGGCTGCATGCTCTTATGTACAATAGGATGGTGCTTTAAGTACAGATGGTGCAAAATCAAACCTGTGTTCTAATAATTCTATGTTCACCTATCTGGGGTTGGCATAGTTAAAGTGAAACCTAGTAGTTAAAATAGTAAGTAAATATAGGACTTAATATATCTAAATAATACTTTAAATATGAAGATAATTGTCACCAAAACAAAACATGAAGAAAGCAACCTATGAGTTAATAGTTTGGCAGTGTTGTATTTTGCATACCATTCTTATGATGGTAACTTAAAGAATAAACATAAACAAAAGCTTACACTCTCAAAAAATGAGATCTACTATGTTTCCAAAGCTGCATGGAAAACAGTCTGGAGAAGATCTAACATGAAACAATGCTGAAAGCGGAGGATACAGAAAGGAGAGAAGAACCAACAGTTTTCCATAATTCTACACGGTCATGGCACTTTTATTTTTTTTTTTAACTAAAAGAGGAAGGTTTTTAACATGTGCTTGCTCACACCTGAGCACACAAACATCCTGGTGATACGGATAGTGTTATCATACAAGAAACAAACTATGCCCTCTCATCAATACCCAACCCTCAAAAATGCCACACTTTGGGGAAGTGTGCCTGGCTTGTTCTCCAGGGATCTGGCTCAGACCCCACAGAGACCTAAATGGAAATGGTGTCAGGATCACTGAGACTGCTGGCTTGCTGAGGGCGGCTGACCTGGACTGATGGGATTCTGCACGTAATTCTGAGATGGGATGCTGGGTGACTAGAGCCCAGATGCCAGGGCCAGGGCAAAAGGGTCAGCAGAGCAGCTGCACCAGCTTGGAAATGTGGGGCTATAGTCATGATGACACAGTTCATATATCCTAATTGTCACCAGGAAGGGTTTTGCTCCATACAGTGGAGCTCAAGAATCCCAACCAGGGAACCAGTGGACTGTGACTCTCTTCATCCAGCTTTCGCTCTTTTCTTGATTCCTTACTAAATGCATCTTGGTGTGACATCAGAGCTTCACTGGGCTCTCCAATAGAGACTTAGGAAGTCAGGGGACGTGGGAGAGAGGAAGGATTATAGGTTTCAGGTGAGAACATTTTCTCCCTCTCAATTCATTCA